CCTATGTATGTGTTATCACAATTCAAACAGTCTATTTTGTAAATTACATTAGGCGTGTCTAACTTGTCAATCCTAGGTTAAAATTTTGTGAAACACTCATTTGCTAAGGTGTTTTTAGTTTTTTCTGCTATGTTGATATTATGTGATTTGAATATATGTTTTATTATTTTTAATTTTTTTTTATTTAACTTATCTTAGAAAAACTGATGATGGTGGAAAAATACACCGAAACGTATTTTAATTGATAAATAAAGACAATAAATGACCTGAAACCCAGGAATTAATTTTGATTTGGAATTGAAACACAGTCAGGAAAGTATATACAATTACAAACATAACGCAGTTTCACCCATTTCCAATTGACTACTTGTTTATATATGTAAACATTACGTTTAACTACGTATTAAATCTTGTATTACTTATACAATTGGTTCAAAATGCCACATTTTTGCAGTGTCGTTAAATGCGCAACGAGATACGGTTTCTTTTTTCCGATTTTAGCGCGACAGAAGAGAGATGATTTGAATGCTTTCTCTAGTGAACGTCGAAATGTTTGTGTTAAGGCTTTAAAACGGGTGCCTCTGGGTGAAATCTTTGTGAGAAATGATCGTATTTGCTTACGACATTTCATAACTGGTAAGTATTTGTACAAAAAAGTGATTTTTGCTACTGTTTATGTTTGATTGAAGGAAAACCAGCTGGCTTGGAAGACAAAACTAATCCAGCTGTGTTGCCCAACGAAAATTTAGGAAACATTTGTACTCTCTAGCCAGGTCAATCTGCCGCCTACTCCCTATTTAAAAGGTTTTTAAAAAGAGCTAGAATGAAGCCAGAGGTTGGTTGTTATAACATTAAAAGGCCATTATGCCTTTTAATGTTATAATATATGTAATTTCTTTTATATAATTATTTTAATGATCTAATAATAATAAGCTGCTGTGTTTAGGTTGTTTTTAAGTTGTTTCTGCATGGTATACAAGAATTTGACAGTGTTTCACAATTTATTGAAGAAATTTGAGCAAAGCAGATTTATGGAAGCCGTATTAGTGAGTCAGTTCAAACTGATGTACCTAACTGAAGAATATTCAAGTCGTCTTTTTCAGAACTTAGATTTTTGCAATTCAATAATGTACACCTTGCAAGCAAAAGTTCAAGTGATGGATGTCAATGAGAATTATGTTAAAAATACATGCTTTATCCCTAACGTGTGTAGCTGATATCTCTTGAACCGTGCCAGACTCAGCATACTTGTAAACTTGCAAATCTTTATAAGCTTTGAGCTGTAATCCAATGTAAAAACTACGGCTTTAAATTAAGTAATTCACCAAATACGTCGTGATGTTGTGGAGAACTTATAAATATCAAGCCGTAATGACCAAGGGGGATCAAACAAGGGTCAAAAACTTCAGTTTGTTTATCGTATCTCCACTAAGCCTTGAATAGTATGCACTTCAAGACATAGTTATACTCATCGGACATTTGTTCTAAATAAAAATATTCTCTTTCCTCAGCCTGATAACCACCCCTGTTTATAAATATAAGTATTATCAAAAATGTAATATTCAAGTTCATTTTCACTTGCTCCGCCTATGACTGCGCTTCTAGAATTTCCTTCATTATAACAATTAAGCGTAAATGATCAACAGCAACCAAAATCCAATTGAAAAGTAAAAAATACAAATACACCAACGTAAAATGATTAATAATAAATTGTGTAAGGTTAGATTACACAATAACACATGTTTAATACTGAAAGCAGTGAACTAGGCATTCCAATAACTATCATTTCGTTACAGAAATAACGCAAATGCAGTATTAAAATAAGGAATAACATTAGTACTGCATGACAGTATTTAGCATGTCCAAAAGTCTCTAATACCAACGGAACTAGAAGTAATTTAAAAAATAATCATAAATAAGTTTTTCTCCAATTGACATTGACGTTGACAAAAAATTGTCAGTCAATTCTTTGTCTATCTAACCTTTTTCGTAACTGCTATAGTTTCGAAGATCCCTGTACTGGTCATCAAAAAAAACTCACCCTGTATATATGTACATATATTTTCAGTATATATTCTACTTGTTTTATTGGAATTTCAAAACCGCATTGCGTATAGGTATTACGAATTAATTGAAAAAATAAATTTCATACTTAAAATAATATTTTTTATTGCTTCATATGGTGCGTTTCAAACAACAAAAGTCACAATTTACGATGTTGATTGATATCTTTGAGTCAAGAATGAATACACAAAAATCTTAAAAATTCTTAGTTAGAAGTAAAGTTGCTTTATATGAACTGAGAACTTACATAGAGTTACTAATATAATATTTTTATATAAATATAATATATTAATTTTTCAACAAATGTTGAAATAAAACTGTTAAGGTTTTGAATTATTCACATACTCCAATAAAATCGCTAAACTGACGTAACAGACACATACCACAGTAAAACCTATAATATTCACTAAAACTAATGAGGATGTAAAGTGTTTAAAATAATAAAGGGTGATCGATGATGTAAATACGTTAAAATACAATTTGGGCAAATTAGTCGCCAAGTACATTAACCATAAGACGAGACAATAAATTGATCGAAAGATTATCTTGATTACACATTCTGTCTAACATCAATAAAAAATAAAAATCTAAAATGTGTAAAGAGAATGTCAAATCTCTCGTGTAAAGCAAGATACTAAAAAAATATCGAGTGATGTATAATCGAAAGAATGAGAATTCACTTAAAAAAACCTGTTAAATGTGATTCAAAATAAATAAAACTTGCCTGCTTATCAACAGCGCCTTAGTCATCGCCATTCGAATCGATCTCTGAAACAATACCGCAAATTATTAACATACAACTGAAAATCTACTAAGTTTCAGTTTTACCTTCTTTTACTTCCTGCTTAATCTTGAAAGGTGCCAGGTCGTTGTTTGTTGGCGACTCGTCATTTTCCGCGCCCTCCACTTTAACTTGAACTACTGAACTATGGAATGGAAAATACTCAAAATAATTTGACGCTTAAAAGGTAAGAAAAGTGATACTTACGAGTCAGCATTGTCGTAGTCTTCGAATGATTCATACCCGCCAGGTCGGAAAAAGCTACCATAGGGATGCGATGTGAAATCAGCGTCAACTCCGTTGTTCCAGTTTGACATGCTAGGAGTCTAAATACACACTTGTATTAAAAATGTGTAGCTCAAGGACAATTATTAGTAATGAAAAGATTGCTAGTTTCATTGGTATTGTTTCCAAAAAGAAAAGGGAAATAATTCGGATATCAACTCCTCTTAGCAAACTGCAGCCAGTTTCTTCTGTTCAACCTACCTCATCAACTCTGGGTACTTCAGCAGCCGTATTATTGCCATTGGTTGGTTCGGCCTCACTTAGTTTGGGGGCATTTTGTGGTTTTGCATCACCCGGTAATCCTATTAACACGAAACCTTAGCACTAAATTGAACCAAGTCCCAGGATCGTACGTACCAACAGTACCATGAAGTCGTCTAAATCTTACGATTAGGCTTTTATTATACATTTCAGACGAATGAGTGTTTTGAAATGCTTCGATCGCATCATCCACTTTGTTGAAGCAAATGAAGGCATATCTGGTATATTTCATTTTCTTCGCAAATCCTATATCTACTCGTTTGTGTTTGGGATACGCCTTTTTAACATCGTCTACAGTCACCTGAACCCCATAAAGGCAGTGTTATAAATAATCAATAATTGTTCAGTATTGCGAACAGGTTAAACTAAAAGTAAACTCAACACATAAAGCTGCTTAAACTTACCTCTTGAGCCAAATTTCCTACATACAGGGTCAAAGGGTCAATATCTTCAGGCCCCTTCACCGAATCTTCCTCTTTGTTCACTTTTTTCTCCGCTATTAAGTATCCGTTTCCAAATTTAATTTTCTGCAAATCAGTTATCACTTCATCCATGCAGGCCCAATTCTGCAAAAAAAAATTTCACCTAATTGTCTGAAAAGCCTCAAATCAAGTTTGAATAAGCATCAGATCTCAAAATATTCAAATTGATAAAATAAGCTGATTTGAAGCAATATCGGGTATGTATTCATTCTAAACGCTACAGACAAAATTGATAGTTCTGAACTTACATTTAGAGTGACAAAGCAATATCGTGGAGTAGACGGTTGTTGGAAGTGAACACTTTCAATTTTCGAGTGAAACTTTGAGACGATTTCCCGGTTCAGCTCCAAGTCAGGAAACTTGATAATCAGTGACGGGCTTTTGTGTCGTTTGTTGAAATCTCGTTCCACGTCCAGCGCTTTTTGCGCGTCCTCCAAAGTCCAGTCCTTTTTCGACGGCATGTTTTGCGATAGAGGTTTCTTTTTCTTTTTTGGCATTTTCCTTGATCCATCGAAGTCATTCTAGAGAAACAAAAATTGGTATAATAGGAACATTAAAGTATACAAATACACATTTTAATAACAAATAGACTTCATGTTTCATGAAGAATCGCGTTTAAGAATTCCAATAAATAATGAACCAGTATTACAGCCAAACTCCGAACTCACCTCCTGCGGCCTTTTCCTATTATTGTTAAAGCCACCTCTTTTGTTAGATCCATTACCATACTTTCCTTGATACTGCATGGCCCGATAATTCCCCTGATTCTGGTTTACATATTGTCCAGCTCCTGTACCAAATTATATTATTTACAGGGCTGCTAGAAGTTACCTTTCGTTGCTTGGCTTTCAGGGTCAATTTGCTAACAATTATTAAAATGAGCCACCTTACCCATGCTCATAGGTGCATTATATCCATACATGTTCATATCTCCTAGACCGTATGGTGAAGGCGAAGCAGAGTTATGATACATGTTGGCGCTTGGCAGGAGTGGAGGTGCAACAGAATACATACGTGAACCAGCTGGGGCAGACGTTTCAGAATGAGCTAATTGAGCATTTGGAGGCCTGAAAATAAATAAATATGATTATAAATTACCCTTTACAAAACGCTTAATGAATAGTTTGCTCTCAACAATAAAGTCAGTTTCGTATTGCGTAATGGCAATTCCAGATAAACAATAATTGCGAATTTCGTCAGAATCATTTACCTCAAAATGCGCTGTTTAAACTGAAAAATTACTGCTAATTTTCTGCCAGTCAAAATTCGAGGATTAATACTATGTGATTTGCATCAATTTTGCTCAATTAGAAAATTGTACAAATGCTATTGTTTTCCTTCACAATATGCACTTAGATCTATTAATAGAAGCATGTAACTCTAAAGTATGAAAGTGTAGATTGTGGGCCAAATTAGCGGGTTTAGTATGTACGATTTGTGGATGATGCATTTAATACCAGATACTAATCATCGCAATTGAGAAATGTATTCGGATTATTGATCGATATACAATGGTGCCTTCACTGGCAAATAATGAAACAGTTTATTGCACTCAAACTAGCGTTTGTATGTATACACAATGATCTAAATTTTAACGCAATTAAATCAATTTGATTCGACATACCTTGTCCCTGCTGTTTGCAAATTTGGACCAATGTTTGATCCCATGTAATAGGCAGCAAAGCCTGGAATATTAAAGAAAAACCATGAACATGAAATTTGAATGAGCCAAACAAATTTAATTGTCACTTTTCTTCAAACATCTTACCAGCATCATTTGCAATTCGTTTATTATGGTCGACATTGGAATGATTTTGGAGCGAGGGATGTCCAGCATTTCTTGGACCAGCCTGATTCTACAAAATAAACATACATAATAAACATATATATATATAATGTGCTGTAAATCCTCGACATCATGAAAGAGCCTCATTTATTATTGATGTACGAAGTATACGGTGTTCTGTGTGTTTCACAAGTATCACTGATATATAATGTTCCTATTGAATCCCAAAAGTAGTTCGGAATAGATAGGCACAACAAATATCTTGGAACGTCGAATAAGTGCTAAGCGAAAGATTAAGCTTTGATCAGCTCGATTACGTATTGCATAAATCTGGCAAAATTTCCGTCAATCCAAATAGAGATAATCATATTGCATTTAACAGAAAAACATTACAACAATACACTTACAATAGGATAATTTGGTGGTGGTGGAGGACGACTAAAGTCGCTATTTAGTAAACTTTTAGCATTAAAAACACTCATTTCTAATAAATTTATGTAACACAAAAGGTTAGCATATGCTTAGAACATAACAATTTGTTTTTTCAATATTTGCAACGTTTTTCTTGTGACAAAAATGTACGATTTTACATCTTAGGATGGATTATTTACGATCAAATGTCCCATAATTCTGACAGCCGAGATTGACTGGATGTTGTAGGTTATAAAGTGCACAGTGAAGTCAGCCAGTATCGAAATATACAGCGTGATATAGTTGATTGATGGTGACTTGAAAATTAGAAAATTTAATTAAAAATTGATAATAAGAAAATGACGGTTTTTTGAAAAATTAGAGCAAAAATTAATTAGTTTATTTTTTCACGACACACCCACAATAGATATTTCATTCATTGATTCAGCATTATTGTAAATAAATGTTCATTTCAAATCTGTTTTTATTCGCTTTTTTATTTTATTATTATATATATATTTTATTTATATTATTTTATTATTAATCAGGTAGTAAAGTCATGAAACTTTTTAGAACTTTTTCACTTATAGTGTTGCACACTAAATTTCGGACACCTTGTATATGAACTTTTGCTAATAATGTGAGACCTGTGGCTGTATGGAGTATAAACAAGTTATTCTAGTAACAAAAGCAATCGAATCAAATTTACGATAAGAATATAAAGATAGGTGAGATGAGACTTCAAAGATGATAAAATTTACTTTTTCAGTAATCCAGAATTTTCAGTTCCAGAATCCAAGAATTGCACTTCTTGGATATTTAGGCAAATCATTCATAAAAGTTGGATTTAATTTGAAGTAAATGAATTTTGTTTAATTGAAGCTTACCTTTTCATCTTTGCTTGATTCTTTACTTACACTTTTGAATAAATACAGATAATAGGTATTAGAATAGATTTGAAACATTTTTGATAGTTGTCGTGCTGTCGATCTGACATTGCAGACACAATTATCTGTTCCTGTTTAGTCTCGTAGAATGAAATGAGATAGAGTAATGGGGCCAATGCCCCATATAATGTTCGGTTTATCCTACTTAGTTGATGGCAAGTATTTTTTTGTTTTCTGTCTCTGTTTTAAATTATGTTGTAAAACAAGACAGACTCTGAGAAGGTCTGGTAAGTTGCCAATCAGCAGCGGCAAACGTCATCTTTAATAATTAACCTTTCAGCTTCAAATTTCAAAAATGTGTCAGCAAGTGTCAGCTTGTTCTAAGCAGTTTTGGCTTTGGGCAAAAATTGGGTAAGAAATTTCATGGTGTATTAAGTCTGAGTGCTGAATGAAATCGGTGATTTCTTTAAATTTAAACTCGACAAACGATTATCGGTTAAAATGTTTCGCTAAATGTTCAACAGAAGCGTGTTTGTCATTGTCTAAAAATGTTTAAGTGTCGAAAATGAATTAGAAATGAGGAGATAAACGGGAAAAAATTGAGAAAATCATTTGTTCAAAAGGCGGACGCTGCTGCGAGACAAAACATGCGCGATGGTGGCGATGGCACATCACATTTTGGGCGTGCGTTTCGGCCAGTGAAAAGCGAGCGAATCGTCGGGCCGAACACCTTTATATTAGTAAAATCGGCCAAGAAATTTACAGTTTCTGATACAGTTGAAAGTGTAGCGGTGCGGGGCCATCCACAGGTGAAAACCATTCATACACGAGCCGCTAATAGAAAATAGAAGTGAGAGTGGGTGCCTAAAGTGAAAATGAAGGAGTACAACCAAGTTACCTTGCCTAACTATTCCTATGTTTTCAATTTCGAGTCTGACTTTATTCATCAAAAAACGAGAACATGGATGCAAGACAACTGGACGCTGGGCTTTTACTATGTGGGAGCATATATGGTATTTATTTTCGGCGGGCAGTATCTAATGCAAAAACGACCCAGATTTGAAATCAGAGGCACTCTGTGTCTGTGGAACACTCTCTTGGCCACATTCAGCATAATGGGGGCGTGTAGGACTGTTCCCGAGTTTATCTGCACCCTCACCCACCATGGGCTGTACCACTCAGTTTGTGTGCCCTCATTTATCGAGCAAGATCGAGTCTCAGGGTTTTGGACGTGGATGTTTGTGCTCAGTAAACTGCCTGAACTAGGTGACACTATTTTTATAGTACTTCGCAAGCAGCCCCTAATTTTCCTCCATTGGTACCATCACATTACAGTGCTGTTATACTCTTGGTTCAGCTACACTGAGTACACGTCCAGTGCCAGATGGTTTATAGTGATGAATTATTGCGTCCATTCCATTATGTACTCATACTATGGGCTAAAGGCTTGGGGCTTTTCGCCCCCCAGACAAGTAGCCTTAGTGATAACTTCCCTGCAACTGCTGCAGATGGTCATTGGCTGTGGCATCAACATGTGGGCCCATCAGCTGCTACAGCAAGGGGTTGAGTGCCATGTGACCCCCTTCAATGTTAAGCTCTCAATTGCTATGTACTTTAGCTATTTTGTACTATTTGCAAGATTTTTCTACAAGGCCTACATAGCGAAACAGAGCAACAGAAAGAGTGCTCCTACCAATCCGGACTATCCCCTAATGAAGTCAAAAGTCCAGTAGTTAGTAGCATTGCCAAGTTATCAGTGTGACAACATTCCCTGCAGACTCAAGTTGCATTTAAAATGTGAAATTTTCCAAAGTGTGAATAAAATGCGGATATTTTCCTAATGTTTTTTCCATGGGTTATTTGGAATCATTGTTGTTGGCGCACAATTATAGATGTTGCATTGTGAAATGTTTGCCGCAGCATTTCACTTTCTTTTTATCTGATTATGCAAGCCTGTAGCAAAGAGCATGTAAGTAATATAGAGTTATATAATAACCGCATTATCAAGGCTAGTAATCTTCAGGTCGATCCAGTTTCGCCTAACAAAGATATTAAAAGCAATAGGCATGTTTACGTGTTTTAATTGGGAGGAATACTGGGCATCCTTCAATAGCAATGTGCCAAATTAATGCATTTCCTCAACTGTAACAATCAACTGAACCCACTGTTTGCTTTCAGTCACCGTTATTTCTGTACCTGATTCACACGAAACAATTATTCACTATTTATTTTCCGCCGAAATCAATCGTTTGATCGATGCCCAGTTTCAAAATCCGCCAAACTTGTTCTAAAAACATATTTTTATACCATAAGCCTTTAACCCGCCCACCTACCATCATTATGCAAATAGCTTTTGTATTGCCATTATTTTCTTACAGATCAATGATAGAGTAATTTATTGCACAAGCTTTTATTTTGGGTATTGGTTCGAAGGTTGTTCAGACTTTGTAGACGTTAAAACATTTTTAAACATTCGAGTAAGCGTTAAAAATCATGTGTAGTAACTGTTATTTATTTAATTAGGTAAACATTAGATTATTACTACACAAGTGTTATTAAAACTAGAGCTTCAACATTATCAGGCGCTGGAGATTGGACTGTTTTATGCCAAGTTGTTGTTCGCATCTACTAATGATTTCAATGTTAATTTGATGTTATTGATCCAACCAGTTTCGCTAAAAATGGCTTTGAAGGACCAGTTTTACTAAGTTCACTACTTTAATTCAATAATCTTTCTTTGGTTGCTAACGATTTGGTTTATTTTTTATTGTATATACTTTCCTGACTGTGTTTCAATTCCAAATCAAATTCATTCCTGGGTTTCAGTCATTTATTGTCTCTATTTATCAATCAAAATACGTTTCGGTGTATTTTTCCACCATCAGTTTTCATGTGTAGCGTTGTTGCTACACATAAAAACTGATGATGGTGGAAAAATACACCGAAACGTATTTTGATTGATAAATAGAGACAATAAATGACTGAAACCAGGAATGAATTTGATTTATTTTTTATATGGAAACTAGTTTATTTATTTTTGGACTGTATTTTTCCTAAAGGTGCACGTTTTTTTAATATTTTCCTTGGGTATCCCTTGAAATATGCACGCTGGCCGGAATCTAAGGCTTAGCAAGTATCCAGACACAATAGAACTGGTTAAAAATTATGCAAAAATCCACAAATGATTGTGTTAAGTACACAGTGATTCAATTGTTAACTGGGAAAGCCAGTGGCCAAAGGTGTATATAAATATGCGTCAGCAAACTCTCTGCTTTCCACATACCTACAGAGTATTGAAAGTAGGAATTTTATTTAAGTTTTTTCTTGCAACACCAGTTTTTCATTAATTAATTCAACTAATCGATCTTTTAGTAACAACTTCTGGTAAAATCACATAGCAATTGAATCAACCCAAAAAAGTTCTATTTTGGCCATCGCAGTTAAGCACTCATTTCCGGACAGCCTGTATAAAATTTTAAGACTATGTTCAATATGAAATTTTTACCCCGAACCCCGAACAAGTTTCTGAATGAGCCAACAGTGAAACTGTTGGTGTGTCATTAGCTTTATCGATTTTTATCGGAATTTTAAAAGTCCTCAGGAATGCATTTGAATGTTAAAAGCGAAAATTCTCGGTTTCAATGCACGTAATTAAATGTTGGCTGAGTTCAAGCTGAAAATGCTTTAAGGAGTATCTGATTTCTTACACTTATGAGCACATGTAATGCAAGCGACTTTCCATGTAGCAGACGTCCTTTACCTAGAAGGCCTAATATATGCATAAGTGTTTCGTAAAATCCAGCTGAAAAGTGCGATTCATATTTAAACATAATCATAATTGTAATGCTTGGCATACTGTAAAGTGCCTGGCCTTATTTTCACGCCAAACAGGCTCGCATAACTTTCATCAAGCGAAAATTTTACTAGCAATTGTTACATAAATGAAGCCAATCTTTGCATCCGCAGGCGGTTGGCTGGTTGCATTAATATTATGTGAAATGTACGGAATTTTCCCGTAAGACTAGAGAAAGAACTGTTGTTCAAACCAGTCGAGAAAATGCTTTTAATTTGAATTTCGCGATCATTCCTGAGTGGATTTTTAAGCTTTAGTTTATTTGTGAACTAGTCACTAGTTATGTATGATGATAGGTTTATATATTTTTTGTAACTGTTCTGGAGAGCTACTGTAGATCCTACTGCAAAAGCTTGCTCCTTGAATGGGTTTTTTCGGAACAATGTGTATATTATAGGCTACTTTTCATTTTTTATATTTATGTATTTTTAACATTATATACCAGTTTAGTATGCGGGTAAATAATAATGTCTGCCGAAAATGCACAAAATGTTAAAATGAGGTGTTCCGGATGCAACGCGCAACCATTACCAGTGTTTGGCATGCTCTTATGAGACGAATCAACTAAACGTTAATTTATGCATTTTTTAAATTTTGCTTTAAAGCAAAAAAACACCTTTGGAATTCTTGTGCTACATACTAATAAATGTAGAACGCATTCAGAGGTTACTGCTGCAATTTGCCTTGACTGAACAGACATTATTATTAATTTGCATTACTTAAGCCGTAGAAAAAGAAAAACAAAGTATTTCTATGACGGTTTTGTCTGGATTTTTTTGGCTATTGTATGTATATATAAAGTTATAAATGGCTGTGAATATTATTTGTTTCGATAGGCGTCAAGAATGAGCATGAACGTAGATTAATTAACCAACAATCAGTTGAAAAAGACCCTAATTTATTTGAAAATGCGACTTTCCGTCTTCAAAGTGCATTCCAAACCTGTCGTAGAAAGCCCATTTATTTCGTTACCATACTGTTATTTGCTAAAATGGTTTCTCGTGATATTCATTCGTATCTCGTGAATTCTGCTTTATAATTCTATGGTTGAAGGATTCACATGATTGAACCGATTTAGAAATGTTTAATGATAAGCCAGCAAATTGACTGTTTCCTGCTTTAACGGTCTAAAAATCTAATCGCATAAACTAAGTACACCTACATAAAGTGTACATTTTTTCAAGTGTTTTTTCAGTGTGTACTTAACGTTCTTTTAACGGAAATAAACACATTGCAGTTGAAGATACATTGATTGGTTGCATTATTTCCTTCCTGAGTCTGACTGAAAATCCTTAAAATATGTAAGCAAAATATACGTTTAAAAGAACTAAACGATCTAGAAGTAAAGAAAATGAAGTTTTATACAACATATTTATCGATAAACTAATGAACAAATTCAAATTGGTTTTATAAGCTGATTCTTTAAATTATCTAAAAATTATTAAAAAAACATGAAAGTTTGCTTTGCAAGAATATAAAATAAGTGAATTAAAACATCAAATTGCGTGGAATTTGCGGTTGATTTTTGCTTCTGATAAAATTATATAATGCTAAAATACAGGATGTTTAGCAATCAAAAATTAGTTGTAAATGAAAGAAAGACACTTTGTTCAACATAATCAATTCATTTTATTCCTGTTTTATATTACTATTTTTGCAGCAATTAAAGGTCATTTTGCCCGACTTTAATTTTTTTATTTTTGAAAAGTATGTTTGTCCTATTTTTATTATTGATTTAATTAGTTAATTGTTTATAATCTACTTGATCTATTTTTTGAGACGCAAACTAGAAATAATTACTTTCATCGAAAAATCGCCTTAAATATTCATTAAAAATGCATGAAAATCATGACTAATAATCATAAAATAACGAAGTTTTTTTAAGCATAAAATGTGTATTTAATTAACAGAAATAACTAGCAGATAATGACTTATTTTTGAAGCTGATTATCAAAATGTCCTGCTATTAACTGTGAATGTTTGGACAAAAAATATCTTTTTGAAGAGCTTGGAGATATTTCCTTCTTTACCAAGTGTTTCATAATTTTTAATAAAAAAAAACGAATTGTGGCCGCCGCGAAAAATATAGAAATTCGTAAATACTAAGTGCAAAAATAAAAAAAAATTAAGTTTTGCTTCTGCCAAAATTATAGACAGAAATTTATGAAATAAAACGTCAGTGAAAAATAAAGAGACAAACTGTATAACACAGAATCTGCTGATTTTTGGATAGCCTTGTTTCGTCGATATTGGGACACTCTGTATGTATTAATATTCCTGTTTCACACTATATTTTTTCAGCATTAAAAACCTCTTCCTCAAATCAGTTTCAAAAAATATATTTCTAATTGTATTAATTAGTTTATATTTACTTGATGTAATTTGATATAAAAACTCACGAGATAATTGACAAGAAAAATATAATCGTACACAAATATTCAGATAATATCGTTTTGTTTTTAGCATAAAATCGCCTATTTAATTAATGGAAAATGCGCCCAGTGCAACGTAAAAACCCCGCTAAATGTAAATATATATTAAACTTTGTTCTGTAAAACTTCCATTATGACATAGAACTTATCTAATTAATGGATTAATGTTAACATCGTGTCAACCCGAAATGAATTAATTATTTTTTGCACTTGAACTCAAAAAAACCCCATTGGAAGCAATATTTTCCAGTCGTGATCAAACAGTCAAAGTCGGCATTTCTCTATAATATCGGCGTTGTATTGTTTAAACAATACAAACAAACGTATTTAATAATAAATTCAAAGTAAACATAGATTTTAGTTTGTGGCGATGTCAGAAGCCATAAATTTTAATGTGTTGATTGTGGTTTTTTAATGTGAGAAGTTTTGCGACTTTAACACAAACATGCTAAAAAATATAACTAAAAGCTAAGAAGAAGGCTTAATTGTTAGTTTAATAAAAATATAAACACATTGATGGTATACAAGCACTCAACAGCACAAAAAGAAATTTTTATTGACAAATTGCCCCGCATTAAAGTGTAAGTCTAATTAATTAACTTTGGCGCTAAGCCATTAAATTTCCAGATAAATTATATCATATTTAATTACTTTTACTTGCTATAATCGCATTCATATTTTTAAATAATTAGCCGATTACAAGAGGCGAAAACTGAACGGAATACAAATACGAAATGAGTTTTGGCTCCGTATGCTGTCGCAATTTATAAAATCAAACGTTATATAATTTAATAAGGCTTGCTTATATGTGTAGGATTTTTGTATGGTTTGGCATCAGGAAAACGCAACCGCTTTGATGAACAAAGTGATAGTTATAGACATAATTACCGGTTTTATCTAGTGAAAGGCTGATAATCAAATCACTACCTATATAATTTTACTCTGAATTAGCTTAGAGCATTGTTCAAATGCCCATTAAGGTTTGTTTCAAGTGCATAACAACCGTTTTAAGTTGAGCTGTTAAAGTGCTACAATTAACGACCTTGCATATAATAATTTTTACGTTTATGGTTATTCTATTAATCAATTGTTTAGCAATTAAATAGCTTTGCAACTTAATTTGCCGACTTTTCCAATAGAAAATGATTGAAACGTCCTCTAATGCAGAATGCAAAACAATCTGAAAATGTTGAATAAAATGCTAAAAACAATCTGTATTTTGTTTACTATAAGCTCGGCTCATTTGGGTCATATTTATGTGATGGTTTGTTGCAATATCGTTACTATTGATAAACAAAAGTCTGATGATAAAGTGGGTTTTAAAAGTGTTTGAACGTTCTGCGCTTGAACATTAAAACACTAAATATGGATACATTGACAGTCCTTCTGTGCTTGGAAGTGAAAAATACAATAAAGTAATTCCAAATAGTTTTTAGTTTTCAACCGCTATTTAAATAATTATCTCCGTAAACGCAAAAACTGCCTTTTCCGACGTTTACGTGAAGCAGGAGACTGCAAAGTCGATTTCTCTAATGAAATAAAAACGGAACATAAACAACAACTTAGCTTTTACTTGAAAATGAATTTTAATGTGAACTAATTGATTGACTCTTATCTAATCGGTAAGGAATTAAAATGATTCAACGAAGGGATGAGCGCTTGATTGATCTGTAGTGAAATCAAATTTCAAGGAATCAAAGTTGTCGAAATTAAATGGTGTCAATTGCAATTTGATACACATTTCATTGTATGTTTATTGCTAAAGGAAAATTAAATTATAAAGCGAAGGCCAAATTATTATGTCGTTTAAAGCGGATGAGAATGCTGCTATTCTTGTTTATTTGCTTGCGCATTTTGTGCAGAAAATACGTGTAAATGTGTGCAATTTCGATTACCAAAGCAAATTAATAAGATGACAATTAAGGACGTCTTCATGGCTGTTTCGGTGATACATCTGAGACGACCTCAGGAACTACAGCATATCAATTATAAAAAAATCAAAGGTTGTTCTCAATGTTATGGGCAATAGAAAAACGAGTTTTTCTTTAAATATTCAAAAACAATTTTTGAAAGTTCAAGACCAAAAGGTTTGGCCATAAAGCCCGTGTCCCATGCATACGTTTGTACGATGATACGATGGTACGAAAGTGTTTCTATTGGTTGGAGATCTGTCAATTCGTCCACGTCGTACGACGACGGACGAATTGACAGATCTCCAACCAATAGAAACACTTTCGTACCATCGTATCATCGTACAAACGGATGCATGGGACACGGGCTTTAAGTGCAGAAAACTTTGCAAATTGAAATCGAAATTTTTGAAAAATGTATTTTGTAATGCACTAAAGAAACTAGCGTTCAACAATATAGAATCAATCTTAGTAAATGTAATTTTTATGCAATTAGGATTATAAACTGTAAACCAGAAACAAACAGTAATGAAATAATGATTTGGCAAATTTATTTGGAAAAGACAGAGAATGTTTTATTTTTGCCTCGCAGAAGAATCGGAAAACAATTTGCACCGAAAAAGCGACAAAAATATTGATTACGTTTGTGTTCAGACTAATCATTTTTCACTTAATAACACTGTGGTAAAAGAACAAACAATCTGTAAAGCAGAAACAAACAATCATGAAATAATGATCATAAGCCAAAAAACTTTTAAAAAATAGAGAAAATCTTCAATTTTGCCTTGTAAATCTTGGGAGGAGAATAGGAAAACAATTCACAGTTAAAACGACATAAATACGTTGATATTCATGCCTCAAATCGTTTTTAACGAAAGATTAAGCAAACTTTGGCTTTCTTATGCAACAGAAAAATTGTTTTCATTAATAAGGCTTCTTTTTCGCGGCGCTTAGAGGAAAACTTTAAATTCTAATTTTAATTATAATTAATGTGCTGATTAATAATCAATTTGGGCGATAGTTGACGTAACTGTATGAAACGCTAATATTGAAATTTCTTTGGAACTATCAACACGCACTCAATGTAATTTCAATATTACAAAATATCGCAGCTCATTAAATTGAAATTATAATTGCTGATTTTTCCTCCTCATGTTTGCTCACATACCAAGATTTTGTGCCTAACTAGTTATTATTGAAAAAGTGTTGTGGGAAAATGTACAATGAAAATTTAAGTGAAATGTTTTTATTAAAGTTTCTACTAAAGGACAGAAGGTACAAAATATAATTGATTCATAAAAGCATGCAAACACAATTCTCAAAATAAATAAATGAAATCAACAAACCAGTCAGAGCCAAAAATTCTGAATGCTAGAATTAGGTCCGTTAGAAGAATCTTTCTTCAGCATACATAAGAAAAAATTTACATACATACAGTCTACTGACGTCAATAAGCAGTTAAGGAAAATCGCCTGTTAAAATGTAGGCATAAAAAATGTTTTGCTAGTTTTGCCGTTATTAACTGTAAGTTAGTAAATTACATTTGTACAAGCATCGATTAATATTAGGTAACCATAAGTGCTTATCTGCAAAGATATTAAATTAGGACTTCAGATTTTTACTTTTTTAACGAACAAAAGTGCAAGTTTTTATAAATTATGTCCCATAGTTGCAGTCAAAATGGTACTGCCGCCTATTTCGCTCAACAGAAGACGATCTCACCTAACTTTTATTTAAAAAAATATCTGATTCTTCTGCTATTGATGATCGAAATTCTGCAACTTTACAGGGCGATTTTAATGAAAATTGCTGTGAATTTCCCAATTAACTCTCATTATTTTGATGAAAATACCGCGTCAATCTGCTTTAGGCAAGTCGTTTAGTGCCTGTACAAAACATTATCAGATCCAACAATTTAGTTTCAGTTGAGGTGTTTGTAAAATATCGAAATATTCCTGGTTGAAGCGTAAAAAAAGTATTTCTGAGCCATTTTGCTCACCTACCTACAGGACACTTCGTACACATTAACCATAAGCAAATAGACCCATTTAGATAGTAATTTTTGAATAATATTGGCTTTATTCGAAATGAAGAGGCGTCAGATTAACATAATGCAAAGATTGAAAAACAGGAAAACAAAAAAATATTGTAATTTGCACAAAAGAAAGGTGAAAGGTTACAATGTTAAATTAAAATGCCATTAATATTTAATGAGAGTGCATTTTTTCGTCGCTTCCACCCTACTAATCAGCAAAATTTCCATACAAACCGACTTATCATTTCAAAATGTTTCCATTTGGCGCAAAAACTCGTTTACGTCAGTATGCATAGTGGATTGTAATTTTTAATAAGGCTCACACTGCATAAATGTCTGGGAGGCAGATTCTAAAAATATATTTTTCTAAATGGTTTATTTGAGGTTTTCAACACGCTTCTGATTTAATTATTGCAATCAGTTAATTAATTTAGAAATATTTTCCATTGGGTTTCAGGCAACGCACAAATATGGAAAATTACACTATTCACATACGCGCTATTTGTATGTAAATGTATAAATAAGTGAAGAACTTTTCATCGAAAGATTGCATTTGAAATTCATTTTTGATAGTCATTGAACGTCATTCAGCAGTTAATTTCCATTCCAGGCCAAAGTGTTGTTTGTCCATCATTTAAGTGGCCAATTTCTGCTTAAATTATTATTCAAATTTGAGGTTTTTAAACGAGTTTTCGAGTCTATAGTCGCGTCAACAGTATTACTATGCGTTTTGTTATCAGTGTGMTTCGTTCAMGCAAAACCCCRAAAAGCTKATAATAACTTGAAGAAAAACCGACCCGAAAGTCAATTCCAACTCTATAAAGTATAGATGAGTTTCTCGTTAAGTGCAATTGGTATTTTCCTGATGRGTTTTACATATTTCTACTCATTAAATTTTAATCGTTCTCTAATAGCCGATTTATCAAATTTCGCTCTTGTAGACAATTTRAAAGATAACTGAGTAATCTTCAAWGCAGGACTAGTAAGRATAAAAAATAAATTTATGAAAAAGTTTACAGACTATCTGCCTACTGAACCCCATAAAGTAAATGAATCTTGGTTTCATTTAAAAAATATACTTTCAATCAATTAAGGTGGTGTTTCCTGCGATGATGCATTTCAACATGCGTTAAAGGACTTAATGGGTATTTTATAGCCACATCTATTAAATACTGGAAAAAATTGTTGACTCTCTTTTTATTAGACGTTTTATAAGTAATAAGTTGGCAGTTTGGAATCGATTCTATTGATAGAATGACTTGGCAAAAAGAGGCCCGAGCTGTTAATACTGCGAAGATAAAAATCAGAATGACAAGAAAATTTGCATCAGATAAAATGTGGAAACAAAATGATGTATTGAAAAACTGCTTGAAACAATTCTATTTTGAGAGACGTGGAAGTTCTAGTTCGCAAAGGAAAATGGTTTAGATATACACAAAAGAACCAGAGGATATTCTGCTTAAATAAATGTATTGAAAATATATTTAACATGTTATTACACAAATATACAAATAAGTTATTCCCAGAACTCTTGACACCAGAGCAAATAAAAAACTGTACTGGTGTCAAGTATTCAAGTATTTTCAGACTCCTGAGAGCCGAGATTCAAGTCCCAATATCCCGGAAAAGTATCCTCTCTAGGCATGTAGTAGCCGCGATGTTTCGAACATTTTTTTGTAAGCGCCAGTATTTCGTTGGCAGTTAAGCCCTGGTTAAGGTAGAACTTTTCGCAGTCTTTGCATGACCATCCTGGAAGCTGTTGCCTCAATTTCCCTCTCACTACCGGCTCTGCCTCTAGTTGGTTGGGCACATTCTGCGCTTTTGCCAGGAAGGCATTCAAATTATCTGGAAGGACTTCTTCATTGGTTAAATCCGGTTTATTCTCAACAATTGCACTGTTTAAGCCGGTGTTTTCCTCTGGAGCGCTGTTAGAAGCAGACTTTTCCTCACATGCATCGTTGTTTAAATAGTTTACCAAGCTTGTAATTCCCATCACAGTATCAGCAGTGGCTTGATTGGAAGTGGAGTTTTGGCATTCAAAAGAATTGAAGCTTTCCTGGTCTTTTGAGGAGAACATCTGAGTTATCGTCAGCTTATTGTTCTTAATATCTCTCTTTACCTCCCTTGTTCGGAAGCTCGCTGGTTTCCTCACTGGAGTCGATTCTATAACGGAGAAATCCATGTCACTATCGGTTTTCTTAGGAGTTCGCACTTCACTCTTAAGTGCCTTACAAAGGTCGAAGGGTAAATTTTTTCGAAGGCAGTTTTTGTTATTGTTGGCTTGCAACAAATTTACCGACTCCTGATTGGCGCTTTGCTGCCCCTTTGTTGCAATCATCATTAGTTTGGACCTAGTGAGAGTTCTGTCGTTTTGCGTGAGCTTTTTCTTATACTTCTGTTTGTACCGAAATGATCTGCGGTTCTTCTTGATTTCAGGGCTTCCAGTACTTTCCTCTGACTTGCACAAATCGTCATCAGATATTATTACAGACATACTGCTATTATTTGATTGCTCCTTGAGAATTCCCGAATTCCCTGAAGCGGTTACAATTTCCTTGTTCAACTGTGGCTGATCACTTAGCTGATTCCTTATGCACTGGACCTTTAGTTGCAACTTACTTTGGACATGGCTGATCTCTCTGTTAAGGCAGAAAACCATCATGGAAAGGTTTTTTAACATGGAAATGGGCTCTTGCTTCCATATCTGGGCGACGTTATCGTCAAACAGTTGTTGCCACTCTTTCAATCCGTTCATTCTACTTGATCATTACATACAATGGATTAATTCACTGTTACCTGCAAATTATTAAAACTGTCTTGTTTTTTTGGGCAATTTACCAACAAAAGCGAGGGATGTTTTGACTGTTGTCATTTTTTTGAGTTTATAGGTTAGGATTCGAAGATATGTTCGCACATAGCAATTGGCAACTGGTTGGTGATTTAACATGCGTTGTATTTTCAGATAATTTCTTCTCAAATTTTCTTCTCAATCGCATTTTCTTGCTCGGCAAAAAATGCATGCCAAGGCTTAAAGCAGCAACAACGCTACACATAAAAACTGATGATGGTGGAAAAATACACCGAAACGTATTTTGATAGATAAATAGAGACAATAAATGACTGACACCCAGGAATGAATTTGATTTAGAATTGAAACACAGTCAGGAAATTATATATAGTATTACTAAACTCACGAAAGACGTGTTTTCCACCTAAGCACGACCTTTAAATAAACCGCTTTGTCAATCGGGGCCAATCAGAACACAGATGTCACCTTAACCAATAAGATTTTGGAATCTGTGGCCATTTTGAACGCCTCGTCACAGCGCAAGTCTGGAACTGAACATTCCTGTCGTTGCGGATTATTCTGCCATTTCTAACCGATCGCCAACCAATTTCCAACCAGTAATTTCCTATGTGCGAACGTAGCTGTCGGTTTTGTGTTTATTGAAGTGTTAAAACATTAATTTTGGTTCGTATTTCGCAATGAGTGAACCGGGGATTACCAGTATGCCTCCTCTTCAGCCTTCTCAAGTGATGGACGGTATGTTTTTGATAGTATTTTTCAGGTTGTTGACAATTAATCTTCTAAATCTTCCATTACTTTCAGAGAGTTCTACGGAGGAATCTACTTTCTGTTCATGGACCAGGGCAAATACCTTGATTTTACTCGATTTATGCAATAAATTTAGATTGAAAGTGGGCACTTTAGAAATTAGAAATTTGAAGAAAATGTGGGAAGTCATGTCAAAAGAATTTCAAACTTGTCATGGTATTGCTGTCACGGCAAGTAACTGTCAGAATAGATGGCGCGTGTTGGAGCGAAATTATAAAAAATATTTAAATAGCAAACAGCAAACAGGGACCGGGCAAAAATTTTTTGAGTTCGCCGAACAAATGGGGAATATTGTAGGAAAGGAGAACGACATCAACCCCACTGTTCTTCTAACAGCGGCAAGCCGAAGCAAAATCCCAGCGGGAAACGCTCAATCGCCACATCTTCAAGGGGCCAAATCATCGGGATCCAATCACGAGTCAGATAATACGTTAAGTCCGCCAGCTAAAAAATCTAAGCTTAAACTGACACCAATGCGACCTAAATATAACAGCGATGAAATATTAGAGAAATTTAGAAACGACAAAGAACAAAGACACAAAGAGAAATTTGCCTTTGAGAAAGCGAAATTTGAGAAACTGTTTCAGCTGGAATTAAGGAAGCAAGCGGCTAGGGAGACAAGAAACAACTTTTTAAAACAGAGCAATGAATTGCGAAAAGAACAAAACCATATTTTAGATCTTCTTTGCAAAAAAATTGAGCAAGTACCCAGGTGTAACGGTCATATGTGATAGGTATTCCTTAAATTATACAATTTGTAGATATTATTATTAAATTAATATTAAGATTATTACTTAACCTTAACTATGTACATGACGTTTTTTGCATTGCATTCATTTTCGTTTAATTATTATTTGTGTAATAGAAAAAATAATTTGTCATTATTCCCCATTAGACCGATTGCGAAGTCAAGACCAGAGTTCAATGATTGCATTAATTAAATTAAATTAAAATCAACACGGCTGCATTTAAAAGTGACCAAATCGGAATCGGAAATTTTGTATTATTTATATTATTATTATAATTTTTGTACAGGGCGGATCCAGGGGGGGGTCATGTCCCCATTCAATTCTCTATCCAACGGTGCCAAAACGAATTCTCTGACTCGAATGGTTCTTGAGAAATTTCGAAAAAAGCAGCGTCATGTTAAAGTGGATTTTTCAACTCAAAAAAAAATTACGCAAATCTAAAACTTCTTGAATTCAAGCATTTTTTGAGAAAACTGGCAACAATTCCCCATCCATGGTTCCTTTTCTAAAAAGGCATTTTATTTTTTTCTAGAATGATGTACAAATGAGCGTTCTTGCTCATTTTGCCTCCGAGAAATGAGCAAAAACGGGACGGAAAACATTACATTTTGGCATAATCTTG